ACCTGACCAGACAGGGCACAGATTTCTCCACGGTCTGGTGGCACCAGAGCTTTTCTTTACAGAATCACAGCAGCCACCACCTGTGTGCCACCAGCCGTGCCATTCCTGTGCCATTCCTGTGCCATTCCTGTCACCAGGGTCACCCCAGGCTCAAGGAAGAGCTCCACCTCGGGAATTTGGGAATTTGGAATTTTTTTTCCTTTCTGGGAAAGGGGGAAGAGGGAATGGAGGAGCACAAACGGGTCTGGTGGTGTGGAGCAGCAGCAGGAAGGGTTTTGTGGCTCTAATCCAAGTCAGTGTTTCTCACTGGAATATTTCTGTGCTTGTTGCATCCTTTTGCTTTTCCAGCAGCTCCTTGGGTCTCTGTTTCCATGAGGGGTGTGATTATGGGGGGATTTCAGAGCAGTTTTAGGGGGGATTTCAGATCAATCATACATTTAGGGTGGGATTTAGGAAAGATTTCAGAGCAATCATACATTCAGGGTATGATTTAGGGAGGATTTCAGAACAGTTTTAGGGCAGATTTCAGATCAATCATATATTTAGGGTGTGATTCAGGGGAGATTTCAGAGCAATCATACATTCAGGGGATGATTTCGGGGGGATTTTGGAGCAGTTTTAGGGGGGATTTCAAAGCAATCCTATGTTTAGGGTATGATATAGGGAGGGATTTCAGAGCAATCAAATATTTAGGATGTGATTTAGATTTCAGAGCAGTTTTAGATGGGATTTCAGAGCAATCACACATTTAGGGTATGATTTATGGGGGATTTCAGATCAATCATACATTTAGGGTGTGATTTAGGGGGATTTTAGAGCAGTTTTAGGGCAGATTTTAGATCAATCATACATTTAGGGTGTGATTTATGGAGGGATTTCAGAGCAGTTTTAGGGGGATTTCAGAGCAATCACACATTTAGGGTATGATTTATGGGGGATTTCAGATCAATCATATATTTAGGGTGTGATTTAGGGAGGGATTTCAGATCAATCATACATTTAGGGTAAAATTTAGGGAGGGATTTCGGAGCAATCAAACATTTAGGGTGTGATTTAGGGAGGGATTTCTGCCACCAGGAATGTTCTGGTTTAGGGCTGTTTATCACCCAAACC